TGATATTTTGAAGCGGTTGTTAAAGGATGAGTGGTGAAGAGACAGAACAAAAGATGTTGACAAAGTTTTTGTTCGTTAGGAGAGTAGAGAAACTTTACGAATGGCCAATTCGCTCTGTGAAACGTGTCTGCAGGGCCGGGAATCATGGTAGTTGTATTCATCAGAAAAAATATCCTGTCTAAGATGATGAATATAACTACCATAATTCCTTGCAAGCCCATCTCATAGAGGATGGAGGAACCCCTTGTACTGCTTCTATTATTACCCTTAATCACTGGAGAACACTTTACCTTTGGATACTTTACAAATTTAAATCCATCTCTACTAAAAGTCAGGATAAAGGTCTTGACCCACTGGTTAGCATCTTGTCGACCCTGAGAGCGGATTCCTGTAAGTCGAGCTAAGACCCCAAAGTACACCTGAAGCCACTGGTTACGAACGCTGCGCCGCGCGCTCCATGACCAGCGGTGATTGATGCGGCCATGCCATGGTGCAAGGTAGCGATTGTAGTAGGTAGAGGCTGTCATGGCACCATCACGAATGCGCTTATCTTCCAGACCAATCGGAACAGAACACCGTGCTACGGAACGATAAATATAACACTGACGTAAACTGTACTGCTCAAACTCAAAATGATGAACATGAGGGTGTGTGGATAATAAGCATAAAATTATTTAGATTTTATTTCTCCGTTTCTTCCTTAGTTTTAGTATCGATTGAGAATATCTATCAAACACCCAAGACAGTGTTTGACCACATTTTCAAACACCCCGACGTTCGTGAAAAATACTCCGCTACGCGTCGTATTTCAACTCTCTTCTCGGTGTTTGGAAATGTGGTCAAACACAGTCTTTCGTGTTTGACATATTACGTAAAATATCAACTTCTAAAAACGTTAAAAAAAAAGCCCTTCGGTGAAATTTTTCTTCTTGTCTTACTTGCTGCCAGATAAAGACGAGTGAGATTTTTCTTTGCATCGCATTATCCATTTTGTATTTTAATGAAAAACATTTTTGTTTCTTTGTCGTATATTTCTTCCATTTTTCATCAAAACCACTTAACCACTTATAAGCTTTGAAAAATATTTTTCACGAAATGTTTTTTAAGCTTTTTTATTATTTTCATTTACTTTCTTTGTATGCCATTTTAAGACAAATACAAAAGAAATGAAAAAAAAAATACATTAAAAAATTACACTACTTAGTTATTAACGTTACCTGCAACACATCCATAGAACTCCACTCTCATAGAGATGTGTCTGTACCATCCCCATGGATGTACTCGGATATAACGCGTTATTATTCGAGGGAACAAACGATATTGAACAACAGAATTCTGATCTCTGTTTCCTGTGAAATACTGAGAGAAAAACATGAAGGGTTTTTAGTATCAGGAGTACAAGGATGTAAACAGGTCAATGTGGTGTAAACAAGTTCTGTAGTCAATGAAGTGTTATAAGTCATCGCAGGAGCCCATCACCGTGATGGGCTCCTGGTCATCGCCATATCCAAGAATTTACCAAGGGTCTTGATGGAGTTCAATTTTAACTGTCAGCTGTTTTTAACTGATAGCTGAGATCTGAAAAAACTGACTCAGAGCTGTGAAATGGGTAGTCTTCTCCGCAGCCGTTTTTGGGATGTGCGTGACATCCCAAAAAACGGCTGCGGAGGAGACTATGAAATGGACTGATGTTTTTGAATTTTGATATTTTTAGCCGAGAAATCGGAGATTCCAGCCGCCCTATCCAGATCCTAATCTCACTTATAACTTGCGAAAATATTTGAATGTTAATGCTAATGTTTCTACACTTGTAACTACCAATGGATAAAGCCATATTGGTCGAACTATCTGAAGATGCTCAAAACAGGGCCGTAGACAGAAAAAAAATATGACTGTAGCAATGTCCATGGTTAAATTCTCCCCCTACGCATAGGTGGTGTTTATGATGACTATAAACAACAACAACAACAAATAAGCAAGTGCCTCGGTTTAATCGGTTTGCCTGTTTCTTGCTTCGGTCCTGGAATGTACTAACATCCCCTCAAGGGCGCAAAACTGTCACTTTGGCTTTCACAGAACATTTCTTCCTAATATGCCATATAAGGCGTTTAAATTTTATGTTACTTCTTGATCGTTGTAACTGTCTTAAAATTCAAACCCTTACCCTTCTCGCACTATTCTGTTTATAGTCAGCGAAAAAAACACCATCCTGGCTGTACGACAAATAATACTGTGTCACCCACTGACGGGCGTCATGTCGTCCCTGAGAAGCTATTTTAGTGATCCTCATTGCACGGCCAAAATCAACCGAGAGCCACTGGTAACGATTGTTGTGACGTGCACACCACGCCCCCATCCGGGAACCTGCTCTCTTCAAATGGAGCCTGCCGTTGTTAGCAGCATGATTCTTATCCCAGCTGGACGAGGAGGTAATCTGCGAGGCTCTTATACGGCCATTTTGCATTCCTAATGGTTTGTTACACTGTGGACCTGGCAAAAGATAATTGTTACAGAATAAAAATGTTGATTCATGGCCTAGAGGATATCTTTCGCTAAGTGACCTTTTTTTTCTGAACCTCAAATTGTTTATATTCCGAGAGAAGTTGCTGCTGTATGATCAGAGAAATAATTTAATCTTTTTTTAAATTTCTTTGCCCCATTAGCAGTAAAATCCCATGTTAACAAGTCACATTTAAACAATAGTTTACTTTTCCATTTTGAAATAGCCTCATCTAAACACGAGGGGGGAGGGGTTCGGAGAATTCGAGACAGTTATTCAATGATATACGTAGTCGAGAGTTTGCAAAACTTATGAAACTTCTCCCAGCACCCAAGTGTTTAGATGAGGCTATGTAAACATGGAAAAGTACTCTATTGTTTTTATAAACTATTTCTCAAAAATACACGCGACTCCAAAACGTCACAACCGTGTTTACAAACTGTCATCTAAACACACCCATCGACCAAGGAGAGCTCGTGTAGTATCTCAGTTATTTTATAATAACGTACACATAACACCTACCGACAATACAGCCGAAAAATTCCACTCTCATTGATATCCAACTTCGCCATGTGACTGGGTGTATTCTGAAGAATCGAGCCTTTATGGGCCTCAAGAAGCGGTTAGTTACAACCATGAAGCGGTCATAGTTTCCAGGGAAGATCTGTGCGAGACAAAAACCAAGTGCATTAATGAACGACACAGTAAGGCAAGAAAACTACTTGCTTAGAAACGTCATTCGAATCCAACAAACAACATGTTTAAGAAGAAATAACATGGGGTAACTGTAGATAATTCCCCCTCTCCTGGGTTTCCGCCTTATTTTTAAAGCTGCAGAGCGGTCAAAACATGTTTCAGTTGAAGACTTCGTTGGGAAAGACAAAGTCATAGAGGAGCTTTTGCGCCAACGGTACCTTCAATATTTGATATGGGAACAAAATGCGTCATTGAGGTATAACATTGGAGGCAAAAAGATATCTTACACTGTATGGCAGACCATTTTCATTTGAACATGTGAGATGGGAATAAATGGTCTGTAAGCAGTATAATTTTAGGGCTCAAATGAATAAGAAAATGCATTGACTTGTAGCAATTAATGAACAGCAAGGTACTGACCTTTGTCTTGCGGCCTTCCCTGTATGTTATAAACTTCTGACCTCTACTGCTGAAGGACACATAGTAACTTGTCACCCATTGGTCAGAATTATGACGTCCTTGAGTGGAAACCCTAGTAACGTACGCGTCAGTTCCAAAGTCCACTTGAAGCCATTGTCTGTTGTTTCTATGACGTGAGCACCAGGCCCCTCCGTTTCTTCCAGCACGACGCTGATGCAGTCTTGCGTTTCTGGCCGCACAATAGAAGTTATATGAAGACGAGGCTCGAAACATGGGGTTCGGTATACGGCCATCTTCCAAACCAAGTGGAACGTCACATTTACCTGAAAAAAATGCATACCCCAACGATTACCTTATGGAACAAGGTTGCACCATCAAAGGTGTACAGTAGGGCCAATATTGGGTAATTTCTTTGTTTAACTATCTCATAACTATCTGACAACTAACTTCTGGTTATCGCTTCACAACAGAAGACAATTCACTTACTCCAAGGACATCCATACAATTCCATTCGCATGGAAATATGTGCCTTCCAGCCCCGTGGAACAAGGCGGACAAATCTTCCATAGAACGGTGGATCGAAAGATCGAGTCTGAATTCCATTTCTATCATAGTTGCCTGGGAACGTCTGTAGAGAAGCAAAAGTCGATGCCATGTTCTCAACTACTTGATAAATATAATAGTAAATGGTTTGAATCCAGGATTATCAGTAGTTCGTCTTGTGTGATCAAACTGAGCGAAAGTCGTCTTCAGAGAAGACAGTTCTTTCAGCACTACCCTCACCCGGACGGTCAGACAAGACGAACTACTTGATCAATAGTAGCATGTATTAATGATAAACAACTAAGGAAGTAACCTCCACAATATTGGAAGAACAATTATAATAAATGTAACCATTTCCTAACAAAATATTTTGCTTTGTTTTTTTAGAAAATCTAGGGGAAGAGACAATCAGTTTTGTGTACACAAGATATGCTAGGGAGTTTTAGTGTCTGTATACTATTAATTAACAGTTTCTCTGAAAATTATCAGTATCTCTAAGAATTTATTTCTTAATTCCTGAGGAAGGCCAGTGAAACTGACCGAAACTTTGTAGGCGGCGCTCCTCGACACGTAAAATTAAAAGAGCTACGTCACGGTTTGCGCATCTTGAAAATTTTAGCCTAAATTTTTCAAATTCGTCGTTTGTGATCCGTGTTAATCTTCTCCATCCTTAACCAACCTTGTTTCTTGACGATTATTATTACCTCTTTGGTGTTTTTCTATCTTAGTAAACCGTTATTTTCAGGTTTCCTTCAATTTAAAGGTGATTGTGGCCAAAATAACTCAAAATAAGGTGACTGACCTCCTTTAACCTCTGAAGACTCACCTTGATGTTATCCCACCATTCTCTGACGTAAGAGAAGCGTGTTCCATCTGAGCCATACAGGATTTGATACGCCGTTACCCACTGGTCAGCGTCCTGTCGTCCCTGTGTGTTAATACCTGAACACTTCATGTACCTTCCCATGTCAATCTGCAGCCACTGGTGATGGTTGTTATGACGTGAGGACCAGGCCCCCATCAACCGACCACGGCGCGCGCGGTAAAGTCTGGCCAACCAAGCCGCATGGTTTACATCCCACTGAGACGAGGCTGTCATGGCAGAATTCTTGATGCGGCCATTTTGAATACCAACGGGACGATTGCAGAAATTTTCTGAGGGAATGAAGACTTGTAAATATTAAACCTGCACCCTCTCTTTACCTAAAGTTGTAGTAAATCCACTTCTGTTTTGTCTAGTTAAGTCAAACTGCAACGGCTAAAGGAGCTACATCACGGTTTGTGCATCTTGAAAAGTTTTCTCTATTCCAAGTTCGCCGTTTTTTATCCGTGTTAATCTTCTCTATTCTTAACCATCCTTGTTCCTTTATGGTTTATTATTGTCTCTTTGGTGCTTTGCTATCTTAGTAAACTATTATTTTCAGGTTTCCTTCAATTTAAAGGTAATTTTGTACGTGCCCAAGATAACTCAAAATACCGTGAGTTAGCTCCTTCAAGGAAAAATACTCACCTCGAGCTCGGCAGCCATACAGCTCAACTCTCATTGCAATGTAACTTCGCCAGCTTCTTGGATGCAATCTGACAAAACGGGCTTTGATCGCTGGGACAATTGGGTGAAACACCGTGTGGAAAATGTCATAATTACCACGGAAAATCTGGAAAAGAGAAAACACTTTTTAAGCCTAACTTCGCCTACAAAATTACAACAGCACGCGATAGTAAACAAAAGTTAGCACTTAAGACACTCGTAGAAACATTAAAGAATAAGGGCACCGACATATTACTACAGCTTGCCCACTGCTTCACTGTGCGAGTTTTCCAGCTATAGTAAGCAGCATACATGTCCAATCTTAGTGGCCATGATTCTTACCTTAACTCGACCATAGGTATTATACATCCTGAATCGCAGGCCCCGTCTACTGTATGATATCATATAACTTTTCACCCATTGATGGGCTTCTCTTCTTCCTTGTGTAGCGATTCCTTTAATAAGACTTATCTGTCTCAAGTCAATCTGCAGAAACTGTTTGGTGTTCCTGTGCCTCGCTACCCAGGCCCCTGTTCGTCCATGACTGGCATAGATGTTGAGCCGCGCTCGGTCAGGTCCATGATTGTAGTTGTATGAAGACGAAGCTCGAAGATGACCCGCTAAGATACGGTGATCCTCCATACCAAGAGGCATGGAGCAGCGATCTAAGGTATGATGGAATTATAAAATCCAAGAATCAAGCATCTTAGTTTTAAAGGCAAGAATTAAAAGATTCCCAATATACTGCTGTTTCGAGAAATGTTGTCCTGCAAAAGCGTACGCAACAATGTCGAAAGGTATCACGGGTAGAGCTGGCGTACGTAGTTTGATCAAAGTGTTTTCCTTCTATTAGCCTGGGACAACGTGAACCTCGATTAATCATTGGTCAACTAACGCTACCCATATAGTTGTCGGTGACACGTACGCTTCCACGCTTTCATAGGATAACATTTCTCAAAATAGCTGTAAACTACTCACACCTTTTACCACAAAAACGCGTACATGTATACTAACAACATACCATGCTTTTCCTTAATTTTAGTCTACGAACCTTATTGTCAACAGAGCTTTAATGTACACTTTGATAGCTGCTTACACGAGAAATCAGCATCGCAAACTGCGTGACTATTTTAAGGGCGACACTTAATTGGTTTGTTAGACATCAATGTCGTGCTGTTTTATAGTCGTACAGCAGTGGAAACGGACTTAAAACAACGTGCTGCAAACTAGAAATAAATTTGAGATAATTACAATGGGGAATGGGGATCTGCTCTGTTTTCTCAATTTTAGTAGTTGCTAACGAATCACTTTTAGGATTTATCACAAAATTCTGAGAACAAAAATCATTTCCAAGGCAATCAATTTCTAAATGAAATTCGCACTTTCTATTGGCATACCTATGTAGCATCCATAAAACTCAACTCTCATAGAGATGTGAGCGCGCCATCCCCAGGGTACCACCCTGATTAAACGGCCTTTGATTGGTGGATTGAATGGATACATGACAACAGAGTTGCGGTCACGATTTCCTGTGAAGTACTGTTTGAAGAGAAGAATACCAGTCAGTACGAAACTACACTTAGTGTTCTACATAACTGTCAAATTTGTTCTTTTTAATTCTAACATCTAGGGTTTCCATGTACTGGTATAATTCATTTCATAAATGCTTGTCACGAAAGTTAAGTAACATTTCTTTAATGTAGATATCTTATAATTGATTTTATTTATTTAAAATTCACTTGTTCATTGAAGTGTCCCCAATTAGTTTTCAAAGCTAATATTATAGATAGACACTCAAATAAAGTTCATGTATCTGTGTCTATGTTCTATACAGCCTCCTAACTGAGTGGGAGAACGCTTGCATTGTTATCACAAAGCACTGAACCAAGTCGAAACCAAAGTCTTTTCAAGCTTTCTTAGCAGCTTCTTAGGTTGCCACAAACTCGAAAGATCTATTTCTCCTTAACTCTACAGTTAAACCCACTATCTCGAACTCTTAAGGAAGCGTGAAGCGTGAAGCGTTCGAGATGTTGGGGGTTCGAGACAGCGGATAGTAAATGGCTAAATAGCATATTCAGGAGAAAATGATTTGAGTTCGAGAGGAGTTCGAGAAAACTGAGTCCAAGATAGCGCGGTTCCACTATACTTAAATTGACAGGAAACAACTTTGTAAATGATAGCTCATTTATACCTACCCTTCTGTTGTTTCGCTCTTTGTATTCCACAAATCGAATTCCATCCAAGCTGTGCATGCAATAATACTGAGTCACCCACTGATCAGCATCAGCTCTTCCTTGAGTGGCGATCCTGATGATCTTGGCTGCTTTTCCAAAGTTTACTTGTAGATACTGATAACGGTTATTGTGTTTTGCTGACCATGCACCCATGTATCGTCCACGGCGATTCCAGTTAAGTCGTGCCAAGAAAGCTGCATGGTAGTTATCCCATTGAGATGATGCTGTTATCATGCGGTTATTAAGACGGCCTGATTGAAATCCCATTGGCTGATTGCACCGGCGGCCTGTGGAAAATACGTAAAAATTTCACAGCAGTGATAAACATTTCACAAAATTCGCGATACATTATACTAGAGGTAGATGTTTTGTGCCATATTGCTCTTACTGCGCGTATTTAAAACATTTAGTTGAATTGAGGGATACCAAATCCTCCACATTGAGGCGCGCGCGTAGTTCCCGCCGTCTTCCTGCCAAAATTGCTGCTCACAAACGTGACAAATTTTCGAAATCCTCTACTTTCAAGTTAAAAGTTAAGACAACCACTGAAAAGTTAACCTTTGTATGCCGCTCATGCATAGAGGACTTAATAATGGTTATGTTTTTCCCCATTTAGTGGTTATTTACTGCTATTTTAGTTTGACACTTAAATAAAGGTATTCATTCATTCATTCGTCGTTTTGAACGTTTACGACTGCAGATATTTGTACTTACCCAGTATACATCCATAGAGTTCTACACGCATAGCAATGTGTCCATACCATGTCCTGACATTCACACGCACGTAACGAGCTGCAAACGGCTTGAACAAACGATGCGTAACAACGTAGTGTCTTTCTTGATTGGCTGGGAAGATCTGTTAGAATTATAAAGGAAACAAAGAGAATTAACAGCGAATTGATATTTTAAGCGTTGTTTTTATTTATACTTGACTGAATTCTGCTGATTAAACAATAGCAGAATGATCAAACTAAAGAGAATATCTTATCCAAAATCCTTTACATAGAGACATTAGAGAGAAATTACATTTCAAGAGAAGGTGTTCTTACACCAGGTGATGTTTCGTGCTAATCGTCTTGTAATTTATTGTAGTGTTAGGTGAAGACTTGCCGAAACATGGCTTACTAAGACACTCTTAAAACTAGTGTTTGCTGAGACGTTGCTGCAAAAAAATTGTGAAAACTAGAACTGAACTGTACCTCGCACTAGGCTGGCTGTGACAAAAAAAGGCAATTTTTCTTGCAACTTGTGTCGCAACAAAATATGGGGAAATTTGCCTCAAAAATTACCTAGTTTCACAACAACGTAACGTCCCTTAACACGCTGTGGTAAGTGGTTATAATAATGTACCACATCATTCCGTACAGTCAAGTTCAGACTTCCAAATTACTAGTAAATTTAATTATTTAAAACCAATTCTGTTAAAATAATATGCTCTTCACTAACCCGAGTTCGTCTATTCTCCCTGTAAGGATAAAACCTGACTCCATTCTGACTGTATGACAGAGTGTAACTAGTGACCCATTGATTTGCATCATATCGACCCTGAGTTGAAATCCTCTTCACAACAGACTTGGCTCCAAGGTCAATCTGTAGAAACTGGTGATTGTTGTTCACCCTGGCTAACCATCCACCGCGTGTGGCGCCGTGATTCCGAGCCTGTAATCTAGCAGACCAAGGACCATAGTATCGATTGTAAAACGAGGAGGCTGACATCATGGACTGTGTAATGCGGCCATCTTGGATTCCGAGTGGAACATCACACTTATCTACAACCAGGAGTGAGGAAAATCATCAGCTACCATAGTTAAAAATATTTACCAGCCTCCACCACAGGCTTTTCTTTTTTTACTAGCGCAAAGAGCGATTGGGAGACTAAGGGTGAGCAAGAAAGCGTGAGCGGGAGCTGGTAGTGAGCGAGGAGCGCGAGCGCGGGGAGCGATGGGGAGGAGAAAAACCCACTGAGCTACAGGAGACTCGTGGGAGCTTGGGCCATTATGGTGTGACTAACACCCTGCTTACCGCTTGGAGTGGAATGTCGATAAGTGGCATATTTACATGTAGAGGGCTTCATGGAATACGACGGTTTAATTGTGAATGGCGATAGCCAAAATAAGGTTGAGAATTCTTTGCTGAAAGATGAGGAGGCAGAACACCCTACTTGGTAAGGTAGCATATTACAGTACGTATACCTGCTTTGCATCCATAGAACTCCACCCTCATACTGATATGACGATACCATCCTCGCGGGATGATGCGGCAGAAGCGAGCAATGATTGGTGGGTTGATGACATTTGCAACAATGCTGTGTTGGTCTCGGTTGGCTTGGAAATACTTGAAAATCAAGAAAATAGCGAATAGTCAGAAGCCTACTAAAAATACAGAGAAAAACAAAATAAAAGCTTTTACAAAGAGGCGAGGCTTCATAGATCGCATTTGTGGCCACTTCTGAAGTAATATTAAATAAATGATTTTCCGTGACCTCCATGAACTTTCACCTCTGTAGGCTAATTTGAATTGAAATCGCTATAAACCAAGACAGGGCAAAAGGTTAGTGGTTTTAATACCCCTTCCATGTTACCCTGTAATCAATTATTTCTGCTGATCATTACCGAGAAAAAAGCTGCTTTGAGAACTCACAACTTTCAAAATTAAGAATTACCAAACTCCTTGATTTTAACACTATTATATAGAATTACAAGGTGTACTCTTTTGTTCACTGGAATATTGCTTTCTTTTGTCTTTGTCTTGGACAAGAAAATCTCATGCATATCAAACTTTATTTCTGACTGTAGTAAACAGTTTGACAGAAAGGATTTATTTTTACCTTATCGTTGCTCCTCTGTCTGTACAAAGTCCAGTGAGCTCCATCCTGACTGTAACTTAACTGGTACCTCGTCACCCATTGGTTGGTGTCCTGACGTCCTTGTGTTTCTATTTTCGTGATTTTCATTGGTTGTTTAAAGTCCACCTTGAGCCACTGATGATGATTGTTGTGTCTTGCGCACCAGGCTCCCACATACCGGCCTCGTTTGACTGTGCCCATTCTGGCAAGTCTGGCTGCGTGGTATTTGTTCCATATTGAAGACGCCGTGATCTGGGCGTTCCTGATGGCCCCACTTTTCATTCCTAAGGCGCTGTTGCACAATGCCGCTGATGTGGGATTTAAAGTATAAGAAAGAGTTAAAAGCAAAGCGGTTTTAGCAATAAGTGTACTAGATTGGCAAATAATACCTTTGTGATAAATAATAAGATGGCAGTTTAATGTACACAGTTGACTTGGTTCTGTCCTTGTATACCGGAACACAAGATTCGATGTAAAAGACAAAACATAACATTACCCTGCAGCTAAAGAATACGTCCTACAATGGTTATTCTCTTGTATAATGGTAAACGAGGACAGAAGCGCCAAAGTACTTTGTTAAGAATCGCTAGTCAGAAACTCAAACATATGTAACTACTAGATCAGATGGCGGGTTTTCAACTAAATGTAATAAATAGAGGCTCGTATTCCATGTAAAAGAGCTTTTGAAATAACAAAACTGCTTTACTGTGGATAGCGTACTGCTGTACACCTCTTCTTGCTACTGGCAAGTAAAATGACAAGCAAAGAATGAGTAGTGGTGGGATTATGAGTGAATCACTCTAGCAATGCGGCATGTAACCCAAATGCCCTTTTTGCACATTGACTAGCTGCAACTGTAGTGAGACCCACCGTGTCTGAATCTGACTATTGTTGAATTTCATTGAAAATATAAGTTATTTATATATTACCTGAGCATCCGAACAGTTCAATTCTCATTGATATCCAACTGTACCAGGCCTTGGGATGAACCCTGACAAACACGGCAGCAAATCTCTTTCTGAAGCGATGGAACACTACAGAGTGGCGGTCTGTATTGGCTGTAAAAAGCTAGCACAAAGAAAAAGAGATATTGAAAAAAAGCAGTAGAATCTTGATGAAATACAGACATCTATGATAGTCTACCAACACCCGTTTGAACGTAGGGCTCTCGCTGGAAGGATAGTGCACTCAAAGTTGCACTCATGTCTTAGCAAATTACATTAATGTAAAGTCGTCGAGTTTTTCTCGGTTAAAATGCACTTTTTGCAAATGGATCAAACGAGATACATGTACGCTGTGTGCAAACCTCGCTCATTTCTGTCAGACTTGATCTCTGAAATATTGTGTCTGTTGATTCAAAATAAACTTCAAAAGGTGTTTCAAATAAAATAAAATCTCGAGCTCATAATCTGATTGTTAAGAAAAAAAGTACTTTGTTTTCCACCTTCATCATCCAGAAGCCAACAAACATTTGCCATACTTTTCTTTTCTGACGTAAAAAGGCTAAAACCTGTCTTTAAGCTCTGACAGTATTCACGGACATCTTCAAGAGTAAGTGTTTACTGTTAACAGGCACCATGCCTTACCTTAACTCTTCCATTCTCTTTGTAATGAGCAAAATCCACACCGTTCATGCCATACGACAAAGTATAGCTCTTGACCCACTGATTTGCATCCTGTCGGCCTTGAGAACCAATACCTTTCATTCGGTAGATTTCCTGCATATTAACCTGCAACCACTGTCTGTTGTTACGATGTCGCACGCTCCATGACCAGCGGTGATTCAACCTTCCATGCCAAGGTGCCAAGTGATGGTTGTAATACGAAGAAGCAGAAAACGCTCCGTTTGTAATCCTCTTGTCCTCCAAGCCAAGAGGTACATAGCAAGGGTCTGGTGACGCAAAACAATTCAATCAGCTTTTAAAAACGTTAATTCAGGCCCCGTTCACATTACGCCGGAGAAATTTGAAAACGGAGTTTTCGTTTCGAAAACGCATCAAATGTTCTCCGTCCACACTACGTCGAGAAAACGGAGTTTTAGCTTCAAAACGCATCAAATGTTCTTCGTCTATACTACGCCGGAGAAATTTGAAAACGCATCAATCACCGGCGACAGAAAAGCTTGGGTGTTAATCCCAGGATTATCAGTCATCGTTTTCGAAAATCTCGGATTTAAAAATGCTTTCCGTCCACACTAAAACGCAAAGCAGGCGTTTTTAAACTCTTCCGGTTTGAAGAGCGTTTTTGAAAAGCTCCGTTTTCGGTCCGGATTAGTCTGGACGGTAGGCCCAACCGTAGAAATAAAGCTGCGTTATCAAATTTATCCGGCGTAGTGTGAGCGGGGCCTCATACTAATCTAGTTTCGCGTTCAGGTTTAGCCTTTCAACTGTTGGGCGTCACTGCAACTAAACAGGAAGCATAATCTCAACAATCCCATATCACATTTAAAGATCATTGAAAATAAATACGCCACAGCGACCTTAACGAGTTTTTACCTTTCGCTCATGATACCCACACTAAATGATGCGCGCATGGCATCATTTAATTCTCGCAACCTGTTAAGAGTAAATGTCAGTAAAAAAGCAAACAATTATGGCCACAACTGTTTTTGCATGGAACACTGCCTTTATATCGCATATTTCCAACAACTGGCCCGATATTCTTCAGTTAGTCACTTTGGACTACAAACTAACGAGACTTAAACAAAACTGATCTTGTTTTTGACAGTGGCCACGATTTCTTCGAATTTTACTGACTCTTGAGTAAGTAAAATACACAGTGATAGACATTACCTTCCGCACATCCATAGAACTCAACCCTCATAGAGATGTGTCTGTACCACCCCCAAGGGCGTATTCGTACATAGCGAGCCCTGATTGGCGGGAACAAGCGATATTGAACAATACTGTTCTGATCTCTGTTTCCTGTAAAGTACTGTGGATCATAAAAGAAAACTCTTGAAATTGTGTTCTCAAACTTATTAATTACTTATCAAGTTTAAGCAAAGGAAATAATGACAGTGACGGTGTTTAGATATCTGATCTTAATTTGCATAAACTTCTACGATTTCATTTCACCGTTTTCTCCTTAGTTTCAGTTTTGATTGAGAAAATAAATCAAACACTCAAGACAGTGTTTAAACACATTTCCAAACACCTCGACGAACGTCAAAAATACTCCGCCTCGCGTCGTGTTGTAAACTCTCTTCTCAGCGTTTGGAAATGTGGTCAAACACGGTCTTTCGTGTTTGATATATTACATAAAAACTGAAGGCAGGAAACAAACCATGTTACTTGAGACGAATAACCAGTAAGGAATCACTGGGAACTCTACCTTTCTGTTGCTATTTTCCTTGTACTCAGCAAAGCTACATCCATCCTGACTGTACGTGACAAAATACTGTGTGACCCACTGTGCCGCGTCTTGTCGTCCTTGTGTGGCAATCTTCACCACTCTCATGGCGCGACGGAAGTCCACCTGGTAATACTGGTAGCGGTCGTTACGTCGGGCACACCATGCACCCATCCTGGAACCTGTTCGGTGGAACTTCAGCCGGCCGTTGCGAGGTCCATGATTGGCATCCCAGCTTGAGGAGGCTGACAGTTGTGTGAGTCGAATACGACCATTCTGCATACCCAGTGGCCTATCACATCTTGGACCTTATGAACAAAAACAAGATGAGACAACTCTGTTGTTATTTACCATTGACGAATCGGTAAATAAAATGGTAAACAACCTGCATATGATGAATATACTTTTTGAAAGGTGGATAAGAATTAAAAACTATCTGAAATATAACAGCAGTGAGTTTGGTAGAAACTACAAGTAGGTTAGTTTTTAGTCTGCGTAGCAAGCGTTCTCATTGGGAGAGCTGTGTTCCGCATTCTTGCCTTGCGCAAATTGGAGCGAGAGAGTAAAAAAATTGACGAAGCGCCAACATCCCCTTGATCTAGTACCAATTTGCGCGCGGCCAGAATGGGGAAAAAGCTCTTCGTATGGAAACCCTTGCTACGCAAGAAAATTATTTTTCTCTCTATGCAAACGTACCAGTAATGCAGCCATAGAATTCCACTCTCATTGAGATCCAGCTACGCCAGGTCACAGGATAAATCCTAAAATATCTTCCCGACAGCGGCTTCAAGAATCGGTTGCATACAACCATATATCGGTCATAATTACCCGCAAATATCTAAATCAAGGATAAAAATAACCTAGTTAGCTAATGTTACAGTTAATAGCTATTGCAGTCTGTGTTTCACTATGTCTTCATCGAATTTCAATGCACGTGCAAAACCTAAACAGCTGACAAACGACCTAGGTATTTTTATGACAGTTAGAAATAGAATGTACTTAATTTTTGCTAAAAATATTCCGTTCGACAATTACATCGTATTTGGTATATTATGCTTTCATGGTTTGTAGGGCTCCACAACATGCCATGAATGCAAAAACACAACTTTGCATTTCATGACGGAAAGGTGGGAAATGTGAGAGGTACTATCCGTTTAAAGGAGATGGTCATATTAAAAGCCTGGTTTCCAATAGGACATAAGCACAAGCACAGGTACAAGTAACAGCACACGGTAGTGAGGACGCCCATAACGCAAGTATAAGTACAAGCACATGAAGAAAAAAAGTGTAAAGTGAGAACGCGCTGCTGTAAGCATAAGCAGAAGCGAAAGTCCGCCATCTTGTTTACTATATTGAAAAGGTATGGAACTGATAATAAGGCAATTATCCATTCTGTACATGCCTACTTGCTTGGGTAGCCGGGAAGCTCTTCGAAACGTCGCACAGGATTGGCTGAGAAAATGATATACAAACAGTAGTAACAATGGACCCTAGCCCTAAAACAATAAAGCTTCGTGCCAACAAGATCCAATGAAATTAGAGGTTCTAAAGAGCTGCATAACAACAGACTTACTTTTGCCTGTGTTGTGGGCGCTCTCACTACAGTTATGCTTATGCTTGTGCTTATGTAGTAGTGGAGGCTAGGTTTAAGAACGTAGTTTAGCCGGTTTTGACGAATGTAGTTTACCTTGGTACCGCGTCCTTCTCTGTATGGTGTGAAATGTTGGCCATCTCGACTGTATGTCACGTAATAACTTGTCACCCACTGATCAGAGTTCTGACGACCTTGTGTGCAGACGCGCGTGACACGAGTTCGTCCTCCAAAATCAAACTGAATCCATTGGTTTCTGTCACTTCGTCTGGCACACCACGCCCCTCCAAGCCTGCCAACCCGTCTCTGATGCAGTCTAGCATTTCTTGGTGCACAGTAGTAGTTGTAAAATGAAGACGCGGTAACAAGTTGGTCAGGGAAGCGGCCATCTTCCAAGCCAAGTGGAATATCACAACGGCCTAAACAAGAAATTTGTTCTTTATATTTCTGCTGTATTGTTTTGGATTCATTTTGGGCTTCTATCTTTATAACACAGCTTATCAAGTTCTTAATGAAGTACAAAGTAGTTTAGAGAAATATGAACAAGGATAAATCCATCTCACATCATCTTGTTTCACCGTACCCAAGTTCGCAATTTGCCAATCAGAGGCCGTATCCACCCTCTTGATATCCCGCGATATCAAGTCACTGACCTGATATGGCTACGATATCATGCTCACTTGGTCGAATTTGGGTACGGTAAATACCTCATAGTCATTGTACTTTTTGGTAAACTTCGGCTGCATAGCAGGCTCGTTTGGTCTCGCCATGGGATTTGTGGCTCGACGTACGAACCGTGGCTCGACCAAACTCCTTATGTGCCGCCGAAGCGTACCAAAAAGGTACGATTAGGAATAAGAATCAGTGAAGCTGTATAACAAGACGGCAGTATTGTGGAAGATTTGCTAATCCGTGGAGCAAAAAATCAGGTTTAAATTCACCTAATAAGCGAACATCGCCCCTCAGCAGAAGACTATGAGAGAGGAAAGGCCTAACATAGACAAGTTTCAAGATACTTAAATCAAGACTAAACTTAATTTTGTTCTGTTTCTATGAAACGCTTTGACAAAGTGATAACACTTTTATATAAGGAACTGGAATTAAAAGTCTAAATATAGAGTCTCGAACATGACAGACTTACTCCATGGACATCCATACAACTCCAGCCTCATTGAAATGTGTGCTCGCCAACCACGTATATGCAGTCGAACAAAGCGTCCATAGACTGGATATGGAAGAGGATTGTTACGTATTGAATATCTGTCCACATTGGCGGGGAAAGTCTGCAAGAGAACATTATACCCACTATTGCGATGAAAAAGAAAGAAAAGATATACGTATGACAATAGTCAATGGTAAGAATGGCGCTGTCTAAAAATGGTAATTTCTTCGGTAAATCATGTTTTCTGATATAACTGGAGCTCCGTGGGACCCCTAAGAGGTCCCAATAGACCGTTTTCGATATATTAAAATTCAGCTTGGCAGTAAGGCTTAGAGGACACAAACAAAGGAAATTGAATGACCATGTTTATTCATTTCTTTTGTTTGTGTCCTCTGGGCCTCACTATCAAGCTGGAATTTAATATATCGAAAGTGTCCTATTCTAAAGCAACACATCAACAGACACTGAATTTTTCCGGCTAATTACCCTAAAATGTATCGCAAAAGCTCCCGCTGTGGACCTTTTGAGGCTGAACACCCTAAGATGTACCAACACCGCTTTTTTTAACCCCTGAAAGGTACGAGGAGCACCCACGTCCTTTTTATATGGGAGCCCTCCCCCCGGGACAGATACCTACCTTCACAACATCCCACCAATGCTTAACTTTGGCAAACTTTACTCCATCCGAGCTGTACAGAAAATAAAATGCCGTCACCCACTGGGCAGCTTCCGCTCTGCCTTGAGTAGCCACACCAGTGATCTTCATCGACCTCAAAAGATCAACCTGAATAAACTGATTGTGGTTGTTTCTCTTGGCAGACCAGGCCCCCATCAGTCTTCCACGGCGCAGGCGCCCGAGTCTGGCAAGATAGGGTGCATGGTTTTTATCCCATTGGGACGAGGCTGTGATGGCTGCATTTTTGATTCGGCCATTTTGCATACCCAGGGCACTGTCACACATGCGTTCTGCAACAAAATCAGAACTGTTAAATTTCTACAAAACAGTCTCCTGATATACATCATTCAAAATCTCTTCTCTATCTAGAATAAGAGCCACAGGATTAATATTCTAAAGAGTGAGATCAAACAACCTTTATATAATAAGTCGAATTATTCTCGCATTTTGATTGGTTCCTACTTATCATCTATTGGAGGACGGACGCTAGATTGTTAAGTTCTTACCGTTATATCTGCACCCGTACAGCTCAACTCTCATAGCAATGTAAGACCTCCATTGTTTGGGATGGATCCTCAAATACCGAGTTCTGATGTAAGGTGATACTCTTTGGGCAACAGTATGGTAGATATCGTAATTTCCACGGAATCTCTGCAGAAAAAATATAAGAAAGTACTTGACGTCAGGAGCATTGACTTGTTTACAAGATCGTTAAAATTAAGTAATTCACTTTCTTCGTAATTCTCGAAGACACGTGCCTGGTTGAACAGTATGAAACAACTAGGAGTATCGCCGAATGGTAACCTTATGTAGGTCATCCAATAGTTTGGTAGTGAGAAGGTGATTTCCATTTCACCCAAAATTCTGGAATTTCCGAGACGAAGGCAAATATATGGAAATTTCCTCGAAAAGTTTGCGGAAAATCCGAAAATTGTTGAATTTCCAAAATGCGAACCATTCAACCGAAAATTCAGAAAACTCCAAGACGAAAATCAAACGGAAGGGAAATTACCGGTCCCAAATTTTCGAAAATTTGTGAATCCCTCGAGAGGTTATCCTCTTTTCCAAAAATTACTGAGAATGCTATTCTATTTGCCACTGAGAATGTCTGGAAATTCAAACTGGAATTTTTGCTTGAATGGAAAGCACCCAGAGTTAATCTTCTACCCAGATTTCACCATGTGAGACTCTCTTCTGCTTGGCTGTGAGAGATTCAAGATTAACCCAAAGTAACACAGGGCCTCTGCCAGGGCTGGACTTCACACTAATCTGCCAACAGGCCAGACTAATAATTCAGAGCACAAAACTTTTAAGTACCTTGAGTCTTCCACCCACTGTATAAGCTCTAAATCTGCGGCCATCTTTACTGTATGAAAGGACATAGCTGATCACCCATTGATGGGCTTCTCTTCTTCCTTGTGTAGCGATTCCTTTGATAATACACATCTGTCTCATGTCAATCTGCAGAAACTGTTTAGTGTTCCTGTACTTCGCTACCCAGGCCCCTGTTCGTCCATGACTGGCATAAATGTTGAGCCGCGCTCGTTCAGGTCCATGATTGTAGTTATATGATGACGAGGCTCGCAGATGTCCTGGCAGTATACGGCCATCTTCCATACCAAGAGGCATGGTACATTTGTCTGTAGAGGTAAAAGGTAAAGTCTGCATACGAGCCAAGTGATCTGTCAAGCCGGCACTTCTCTCCCGTTTCTATGTAGCATGAAGCGACTAGGGTATTTCTACTCCCCCCTGTATGGGATGCTAGGACATCGCAGGGTTACCCCCGGCATTAATTCGCCGGTACCCATTTAATTTCAGTATAATCCTGAGTGAGGGGAGACACTGTGAGAGTACGGTGTCTTTCCCAAGAACTTAATTGTCAGCTTGTGTAAAGGCATTGTACAATGGTCTTTGAAAAGGAAAACATTTATATTTGTTCATTCATTCCTTTCCTTTAATATAAGTAGACAGTAAAACACAGAACAAACCCAAGTTAGTACAAATACGGGTAGCAAAAAATAGAATAGGCTGCTAAAATTAAAATATGGAATACTACAGGCTGTTGTCCAGCAAAACAGACAGAAAAAAGATTTCAGTAACAACAAGTCTAAACAGGAGTCTAAAAAGTAAATGCCTATACTGTACTAATAAAATACAAAATTGCTAAGAAGGAGGATTTTGTCTACCCCAACCCCTGTCTACAAGCTGACGATATCATCTGTAGTAAGTTCACCTGTGAAACATCCGTAGAACTCCACTCTCATTGAGATGTGTCTGTACCATCCCCATGGATGAACCCGGATGTAACGACATCGAATTGCTGGATTAAAGGGGTTGGAGACTACCGTATTACGGTCGCGGTTTCCAGTGAAATACTGTCAAGAAGAACAATAACGGAAACGAGTTAACCACTACTAAACCACTCAGGCTGGCCTATTTCAATTTTTGAAGGAAGGATATTAAGATGGTGAGTTCTTACTGGTGATATGGATACACCATAAGCTTGCTATTTCAAATTAAAGGGACTATTATTTTCATAGTCATTCTGTTATTCTTAGAAGGTGCACTGTTTCACTGTTTCTTAGCTCGATTGCTTAGTTACTTCATCTAGATTAAGACCGTTTAAAAAGTAACCTTAAGATAAGTGAGTCTGCTAACTGTTTCACAAAGTATTTGCTTCCATGCACTTTCTCTATCTCTAGACCTCTCAGGAAACTGAGGTTTACTTCAGTAGGTTCAAAAGGTCACATCTTTGGGTTGTGATTGCTAGATTTCGATCCATAAGGATTGACAACGGCGAGAAACGCAATCATAACTTAGAGTTCGTTTGTTACTGAAAGGCGCAATAAAGTTTCAAATATGTAAGATGCATCGTGCTACCTTTCTATTATTTCGCTCTTTGTACTCCACAAAATTGATCGCATTTACACTGTGCGTTATGTAATACTGCGTGACCCATTGATTTGCATCCTGGCGGCCTTGAATGGCCATCTTAATAATCTTAGCCAGCCTTGTGAAGTCAATCTGAAGATACTGATATCGGTTATTGCTCCTTGCACACCATGCTCCCATGTACTTTCCAACGCGCGGGCGATGGAGCCGCCCCAAGAAAGCAGCGTGGTATCTATCCCATTGAGAGGATGCCTTCATCAGGTGATTTCTGAGACGTCCATTTTGTAGTCCCATTGGCTGATTACATAGACGACCTTGGATGAAAAAGAAAGACATTTTCTAGTTAACCATCTCGAATTCAATCACAAAATAAGTGAAATTGATACCACAAGAAAGCGTCGAGGGTATAGTAGTTGAGAAACCTGATCGAACTGAGTGTTATTTTGAATCTCCTCATTACTCCTCCCCCCTCCCCTCCCCTCCCCTCCTCTCCTCGCCTCCCCATGTTTTAAAAGAATTAAGCAAGAATTGGGGATAGAAAATCCAAAAAATGTTTGGCAGAGAGGGGGTAATATGTTAGGAGTAAGGGGTGATATTTTTTCTGGGGACTCAAAAATAACGCAGTGTATCAACAATTCTTGTGCATCTTACCCAGTCTACAGCCGTACAGTTCAACCCTCATGGAAATGTAGCCGTACCAACTGCGGACATTTATGCGCACATAACGAGCCACAAATGGCCTGAAGAAACGATGAGTGACCACAAAGTACCTCTCGATATTGGCTTTGAATATCTAAAATAAAAAAGTAACATTGACACTACTTATAATTCTCTGTCTCTTTGTGATCATTACAATCTCAATAACTTCGTGACAGTACGTTACGGTAGCAAATCTCTGCACTGCATATGCAAAGTCCGCAACACCATGATTGCAAAATTCTCACATTTTGACAACTAGTTTGAAGTTTACTTCAAAAGTATGAAAAACCAGACACATCACGGGTAATTATCAGATATTCTTTTATATATCTTATAACTGTACATTAAACTTGAGGAAGCCTAAACACATATGAGCTTTCTAGCTTCTTTTAGGTCTTCTCGCCACTTAACTTTTCTGTAAGTTTTTTTTCTTACGTCTTGTAATTTCGTTTGTGTGGCAAAAAAGGATAAATATCTTCCCTTGGAACACGGTAAATGTAGAGTGTCCAAACTAGAGGACCCCGCTAATTCGAAAATCCTCTTTATTTCGAACTCAAAACCATTTGCCTTGGATTTGCCCTTCAGCCATTTACTATCGGCTTTTTCGAACTCCCCCTATTTCGACCTTTGTTTCATTTCCCCGGAGAGTTCGAAATAACGGGGTTTAACTGTACATGTGATTTCAGTCACCATACCCTTATCTTCCTTCCCTCAGTGTATGGCACGAACTTGTCGCCCTTCTGGCTGTAAGACACCGTGTAAGACTTGACAAACTGGTTGGCATCATAACGTCCCTGGGTACAGATTCTCTTCACTCTGGACTTGGCTCCCAAGTCAATCTGCAGCCACTGCTTATTATTATTGTACTTAGCAATCCAGCCTCCTCGAGTGGAGCCATGGTTCCGCGCCTGGAGCCTCGCACTCCAAGGACCGTAGTAGTGGTTGTACATGGAGGAAGCCGTGAGCATAGATGGGGTGACACGACCATCTTGAAGACCGAGGGGAACATCACATGGATCTGTACGTACAAAGATTGCAAACCACGAATTTTCACAAAATTGCCTTTATATTTACTTAATGATCCTCTTTCGAGGCCTAGTCTGAGCTTCCACTAACGA